TTACATAAACTACACATAATTTTATGAATGATCCATGGTGTTTTTTTATTTATAAGTAGTAGGGATCATGCTATGATTTTTTTTATTATATATAGATGTTTCTCCATGTATTAGACAAATTTTCTATTATAAACTTCATTATTTATGTCTTATGAAGAGTGCAAACTATCATAAATTTTATTTCATACGCAAATTTATTAATTAAGCAACTATTCATATATTATGAAGATTTTTTGGAGTGAGTCATATTATATTTATAAATTATAAATAGAAACAGACCTACTAAATTTTATTTTTCACATGCATAGTGATGCTGATAGCAATCTTGGATTCTTAATTCAAATATTTAAACCAAAAGCAACGACGACAGTTACCTAGGTCCATGCCATTACCTCCCACAAGATCATCAATAGGAAGTTTTACTGAGATTAATTAGATGCTACCAGTTCTTTCCTTTCCTTTTCTTTTTTTTTTTAAGAATTATGTTGAAGTTTAAGAAAATTAATCACTCCAAGGTTCATTAATAATTAAATTAAGGCCATGTTAAGGTCCATTAATAATTGAACTAAGGCCATTATTGTTAATGGACCTGTAGTGATTATTTTCTTGTATGAGACTTATATGTAATTCTTCCCTTTTTATGAAAAATTGTGTAGGTGAGTTGAGTCCCAATGCTCACCAAGACCTAGATATGTCTTTAGACTCAAAGACACTAGTACAGATAGGCAAATCTACACCAGTTAGAATAGGTTATTTACACCAATTTTACAACCAGTGTAGATAAGACTAGTGTAGATAAGGCAGATATAGTTATTGGATAATCTACACCGGTTCCAAACCCCGTGTAAATAAGGAAAATTATGTACTTAATTTTTTAAAAAAATATGATATCTGCACAAGTTGTAGCCATAACCAGTGCAGATGTCTTACACATCTACACAAGTTCTGGCTTTAACCGATGCAAATAAGAAATATCTACACTAATTTTCTTGTAGAACCAGTGTAGATAACATAATATGTAGATATATTGTTATCTACACCGGTTAAAATCAGAACTAGCGTAGTTGAGTAAGATATCTACACTGGTTATGGCCACAACTGGTGTAGATAGTTCAATTAGAAAAAAAATTACTCTCGTTTTCTTTGCCCTAGTTATAATAAGCTATAATTTAAAACCTGCACTTATCAAATCAGCCAGACAATCATATATTATTCAAAACAAATGAATTTAAAATTATGTACAATTTTAAACATATAAAACATAAATTGTCAAGTAAGTAATCCTACACACAACTATAAATGTCAATGTTTCCTACAGCTACACAACTCACTCTTCCAAAGGATTATTATTATGAAGATCTAACATGAAGAGTCCCTAATGTTGCCTAATTTGATGGATCTCTAAATCTAAAATGGAGATGGATCATTGAACATATAAAAAGATTAGGGATAAGGGAATTAAACTAGAAATTTGAAGAAAAAAATAAATAACACATAAAATTAGATTTACCTCCTCAATGAACTCAGTCAAGCTAGTTGTGATGATATTATATGCATGTCTCAACACATAAAACCCACACGAATTAGTAGGAGGTTGCCAACAGCTCTGTGAAATAACACAACATTGTCATAATTATGTTGAAAGAAAGCTCTATCATCATAATTATGTAGGATCCTTGATATCACTTGAGGCCTTGCCCAACCAAACTTGCTGGGCAATTCTCATAGCCCTATCATCAACATGACATAGTTAATAACTTAATCACAGAGAAAAATGTATTATAAAACTCCTTAGACACATTGCTCGCAAGATTTTTTCATTGTCAGATTGAGTTTACGATGCAAAGAGCATAAAAAGATTATAGAATTGCTTTTCATCGAAAACACTATCAATTGTTAGTGTGTACTGCAAAAAAAAAAGTTACTTAAGCAAATATTCAATATCATTACGAACAAATTCAAATATATGTACTTACAGATTGAGAAATATGAAAAAGTAGCACTCCTTTCTACCTTTACTGAGCCTCTGGTTCATATAAGCCTCATTTACTCTTTGGTGGTCTCCTTATCATTAGTGTAACGTGGGTAAAGAAATCTATATTGCTTACAAATATATTTACATATTATTCATCAACATTGTCCTCAAATTGAAGGTGAGATTTAAACCTACAATTATGTGAGTCATGATCCAAATCATTACTAACTAAATCAATCTTTGTTGGTATGGGTTGGTTCTTTCTTTCTTTGTTAGTTTTTCAAGCCACCAGAAAGCGTCAAGAGTTTTGTTTTGTTTTTTATTTGTTTTTCATTTTGGTTTTTTTAACCACAGGCAAGTTGTACACGAGTTTGGAGACAGGTCAAAACTAGGAAATTATATTCAAGTATCACTATCAAGAGAAAAGCCCTCTTGCCTTTATCCAATCCAAATAAATTAAATAAAAATACCATTTGCACACAAAATTGTTGTCTTTTTGGTTCTCAATATTGATAAATGTCGACTCACTTGTCGATTCTATAAATACTTGAATTAGAGATCAACTTACACGCTTTGAGTTTTGACCTACCTCCCTCTAGGTTTTTTTTTAAAAAATGAAAACTGGATACTGCAATATGCTAAGAAAAAGAAATACAAACAAAAAACAAGTTAAATAAATTATAAAATATTACTGGTTGGAAAAAAATCTTTTTATTAAAAAAAATCTCTTCCACACATCATCATATATGATAGAAAAATTAACGGGAGCTAAGTCTAATAGAAAGGGATAGTTTCTCATAACATGACAAAATATAGTTCAAAGCCTCACCGAGAGAAATATCTACATTTAATATCTAACCATAACTCCTATTTTAAACAAGATTGTTTCTAATTGAAAGACTCCTGTAGGCAATAAAAAGAGATACTTCCTCTAGTTTTCAAATAGAGGAGAAAATAATCAATTCATACGGTTTGAAAAAGTTGGTTAAATAAAATAATTATTTTTAAAATTGAAAAATTTAGATTAAATTATCCCTGCAATTGATAAAATAAATTTGTCAAGTGAAAATAAATATTGATTTTATGAGAGACAATTTCAGAAAAATGTGACAAATGTTTTTTTAAAAAATTTGTACTTTTAATTTGTAAATTAAAAAAAACAAATGGTAGTTTCTTTTATATTTGAAAATAGAGGGAGTAAGATATGAAATGATAATTATTAATTATCAAGTAACCATTAACTTATTTGTTCCTTCAAACTGATATGGTGTCCATAATGATCACAACTAGATATTTTTCTCCGCTCATTATTAAAAAAAGTGACGTAAATGATCTTCATCGAAGTCAACGTTGTAAAATTCGAATTGTGCGTGTATATATACAAGGCCAGCAATAGCGTCAGTTTTGCGCAAAATGGCTTCTACACAAGAGGGAAGAAGGACGAATTGCTTCAAATATTTTCAGTTTAACAAAGACACGGACACAGCCCAAGATACTCGAACCATCCTTCTCACAATTTTCACTTTGATTGCTGCAGCGACATTTCAAGCTGGAGTCAATCCTCCTGGTGGTTTTTGGCAAGAAGATGGACCCAATAACACTGATCAACACAAAGCAGGTTCAGAAAGTATTTAGGGTTGATTGATTTTGTTCTTCTTCTTTAATCTTTAAATAATGTATTATAGTACAGTTTTTAGAATTGTTTTTGTTTTTAAAAATAAAAATAGAATAATTTAAAAAAACTTAAAATGAAAAACTCACATAAATGATATCTTTTAATTTTTTTTATTTGTTTTTATTATATCACTAGCTATTCTAGAAAATTTGGGGTATTACCATCTCCCGCCTAAACTAGGTCAAACCCTTACTATATGAGATCGTTATTAGGAATAGAGGCCTCATGGATACCTTGGGACTGCTTTTGACATAATTATTTAATACGACTTATATCCTAAGACTTAAGTTTAAGATCCAAGGTAAGTTAATTCAACTCCCTCAACCACTTGAATCAAATGAAATTCAATTTTTTTAATTTTAAAAATAAAAAACAGTTTTTGAAAACAAAAGAAAGCATTTAGTCTTCTCATAAAACCTTGACGAAGTGTGTTTCTCAAAAAGCCCTTCTCGCAGTTCTCACTTTGATTACCGGTGTAGAAAATTTCAAGCTGGAGGTCCGCCAGAGGATTACAAAGCAGGCTCAGCAATATATTCGTCTCGGAACATCCCATATTACGTGTTTCTGCTGTCCAACACTTTCGCTTTCTCTAATTCAATCTTAGTCATTTTGTCACCGACCCACATGTTTCCTTTCAAGTTTGAGATCCGTGCTGCTACTCTCTCCATAGCTGTCACTGATGGTTCCGCCATTTTTGCTACCTCGCCTCCTCATTGTGTCAAGTTTCGCTTTGTCCTGTTCGCTGCTTTCTTGCCTTCTGTAATTCGATTTCTGATCTCTTTTTACAACTTGTGGTGCTCGTTGGATAACTCGATGTCTATTAGAGTATCATCCACGTCAGATCCTGTTGAATTCAGAGCACCGCCGATTTCCAGATCATCGCCTGCCAACCGTCGTTCCCATCTTCCTGAAATATTATAGATGCATTTTTTTTTTTTGGTAGAGATTGTGCAAATAGAAACTCGGTTAGGGGCAGGCTGTATCCGCTTCAGATTAGTTAGAAAGCCAGCCTTTCCAACCCACACCCACCAACTTGTGGCATGGCTTGTATTCCCAACTCTAATTTACGTGCATGCTTTGTTTTTTTTTTCTTTTTTTTTTTTTTGGGTTTGGGTGAGTGTATGCTTTAGTTCTGGTCGATGAAAGAATATTTTGTTATTTGTGTTGCTATCTACTAGTGCACCAATTGTACTTGGAAACAAGTCCCACAAAATTTAAAATTACAGTCAGATTTCTTGACACTTATGTATAATTTGAAAATAGAGTGCAAAAACATATACTACCTTTACTTATTAAATATGTGAAGTTATAATTAAAAAAAGTTAAAGTCATATTTTTAAGTTTATGATAATTTGCCTGTTTGGATTTCAATTGAGTATAATTAATTATGAAAAAATTGATTAATATAATTAAGTATAATTATAATTAATTATGTTATAACATAAACATACTTAGATATTGTTTTTCTAAAATTGATTTTTAGAGAATTAAAAACTTTTGGGTGATTTAGTCAGAATCTATTTTAGATGTACGAATTACTATAAAAGATATTGTCTTTTAAGATATAAATATTAACATAACTATATATTTATTAAATTTGTTAAGTTCTATTTAACAAATGAAATATGTATTATAGTGATCCAGTTAATATTTGTATAATATTTAACACATATGTGATTAATTATGAAAATTATATTTAAAATAGAAAAGTCTTTTATAAGAGAAATTTAATGCTATATTGTATTGTAACAAAGAGGACCACGAAGAAGAAAAGTCAGAGGTGGAGGTTGTAGATCAGGGGAGATGAGGTAGCAGCAGAGATGAGACATTGATCGTGGCAATGAGCCTTCACTTTTTTGTGAAAGATAAATGGAAGTGATCAACCGAGGCAATCACATGTTGACCACGGTCTTACTTGATAGATTAAAAATTTTGACTGACAATAATTACACTTACAAATGTAATCGATTACTCAAGCTCTTCCTTCCTGCTTAATATAAAATAATCGATTATATAAAAATAGAGCTGTTTGGTTATTTTTTACCAAAGCCATAATTTTAGTACATTTAATCGATTGTGGGAGGATATCCAAATAGGCTAGATATAATGATAAACAATTAGTATTAAACTTTTATTAGTAACATATATCTAATTATTAATATGTAAAGTTACAATTGTAAAATATTAAAGCGATAGTTGTAAATTAATAGTGATGAGTTTAATGTTAAACTTTGTTAGTATCATATGATCAATTTAATTATTAGACATGTAAATTTATAGTTGTAAAAAGTTAAAGTGATAGTTATAAATTAGTATTAAACTTATAATGCATAATTAGTTTAACTATTGGATATATATATATATATATATATGAAATTACAATTATAAAAAATTAAAATAATAGTTGTAAATTACTGATAATGAAATAGTTGTGAATTACTTGATTAATGTAATGTACTTTTAATAAGAATATTATTGTCTTTACACCCTACTTTTAAATTACACTCGGACATGGTTGTAGTTTTTGAATTTTATTAGAATTTATTTGCAAATAAGTCTACTCTATAAAACCTACACTTATTCATAATTTTCCCTAATAAAAAGTAATCCTAGTAAAGCTGAGTTGTTAAGGAAAGTCGCGGGGTAATTTTATGGAGCATTAATTAGTACTATTGCGTAATTTAAAAATGTAAGAATTTAAGGAGTCACGCTGCTCACAAGTTGTTAAAGTTACATATAAATAACATGCGGAAAAAAAAAAAAAAAAGTGGTGAACAACACAACATTTTGATGTTTATTAAGTCATGCATTATTTTCAGCAAGGCTACAACATTATTCTGACATAAAACACTGAAACGGAATAAGAAGACACACTGTTACCGCTAGAAAGGGACCATTAAGTGTGAAGCTATAGCGATAGACTTCACATGACTCGAACTTTTATCACCAACAGAACTACACAGAATAAGCGCAGAACAACCTCACTGGTCGTACAAATGAAGGGAATGTTGGGCCACGGGATTTATAGTTAATTGGGCCATACACTGTCGTTGGGCTTGTATGATGTTTTCGGTTTAGGCTTGCTTTTTGACTTTGTTACAGGGCTATATAGCGCTAATCCAAAATTATTGTACTTATTAAATTTTAAAATAAAGTTGATAAAATTTAAATTTTTTTTTAATTTTAATGAAACATGTTAAGAGTGACTTATAAATAAAGGGAATAGGACAAGGTTTGATAATCCTAGAGACCAATAGCATAGATTAGGGACTACTCTTTCTGAAATATGAGGAAATAAAAGAAATTAAGAATATAATTAAACGACGTTATTCAAGAATTGAGAATTAAAGCCAAACAGTTTAATTCATTTACGAAGGAGGCCCTGAAGGAATCTGAAGATTGGTAGAATTTGTAGTGAGGAAGTACGTAATTTTACGTGGAAATGCTGTGTCGTGCGGACTTCAAAAAGAAGGAAAGAAGAAAAAAGAGGAGCGAGAGGATGTGGAAAGGAATCAAGGGAAGAGTACGAAGTAGAAAATCCAAGACGAGATTGGCGTTTGTGCTTCGTTCTATCATATATTATTGATATTTTGGTTTAAAGTGTGTTTGGATGCGCATTTCTATACCCTTAATGATGCTTTTGGAAGTTTTTAAGATGAAAAAATTAAGTGAAAACATTATTAATCATGTTAATTGGGAGAAGTGTACAAAATAAAACAAAGTTGTAACCAAAATCACGACTTTGTTTTCGACTTCTAATGTGACAGCAAAATGAAGTATTTTATCTAGCTGATAAAATTAGAGTTTTTGAGTATGTATGATCCATTCTCGACTTTGGCCAACATTCTAGACTTCTTGAGAACATTTGGGAGCTTTGGGTGTACTAGGCAATGGATTTTGGTAGAGATTGAGCTTGGATTTGAAATTAAAAAAGATTTGGCTTCATATCTTGGTTCTTCTCCTCCATCCTCTGTCCTTTTCTTTTGTTCAATGTTTATGCTGATATATTTATATTTTGTCATGGGTTTTATTAACGTTTGTAGCTAAACACTTGATTCCAGAATTATTTTAAACCATTTGCATGGATTTATTAAATAGCCATTCCCCTTTGTATTTGTGATTAATCATGCAATTATGTTTATTTTACTCTATACTTAATGCTTCTAGTTAACTGTCTATCAATTAGATTGTTGGCTTCACTTGATTGATACTTGAGAGAGCTAAGTGAGTATAGAACTTAAGTAAAATTATTTGAGAACTTGAAGTTTGCAAGTTGAATAATGTTTTGTTAATGAGGTAGAGATACATTCATTAGTCTCACATAGTCACATAGAATTTGTAAGAAAAATTGGAGTTTAATTAAATAATTAAGAGATTATGGGATTAATTAAACTAAAAGCCAACTTGGAGACTTGAGAGAGCACTTGTGGGTAAAGTATCATTGACTAGTATAATTCTTCATTAAGAGCAAAATATATTAGGGGTTGATTAAGTATTCTTGAAATATAAAGGGAGATAAATAATCTTAGGCCTAATTACTTTCAAAAAGTCTTGAATCAATTTTTTTTCTATCTTTTCATACTTTTTCAGACATTTAATTTATATTTTAAACACTAATTATGTTTTATATTTGCTCAACTTAATTGAATTCACAATATCTTTTGTTTAACCATATTTTTTCAATATGAATCTCCTTGAGAATGATACTCTACTTACTTTATATTACTTATAACGTCCCATGCAGTTGCAGAATACAACATTCATCCACCAAATGAGACATATTATATTATTTCTTGAGTTGATATCATTATTATTTTTTATTTTTTCATTTAAATATTACTTTAAAATATTTCATGCATGTATATATAATTTAAAGTTCAAGGGAATCTATTTTGTTCTTGAAAACTTGAAAGATGCATGCATATTAAGTGGTGATGAGCTAAGCCCCCAAAAGGGAACCTTTTTATTCAACCATGTATTATTTCGAGCAAGGCTTCGCCCTTATTCTGACCAAAAAAAAAAATGGATCTAACCTCACTACATTAATTACCTTTTCTAGGGCATACTATCGAAATTTGAAGGGACCAAAGCTATGAAAAGTACTTAGAGAGCCTAACTGGATTCTTCAAAGGCGATTTACTTGGAGTTGGACACTGCAAATTAAACGACTGAACGAATCTTCGGCTCTGCCATTCTTTCCAAACGCGTCTTTCTCTCTTCGCACAGAATCTGTGCCACCCTACTAGTTCACATGTCATAATAGCTAAGTAATTAAATAAAAAAAAAGAATTAAACCTACGATTCAATTATCCAACGTTATCTTTATTGCCCGGAATTTGGGACTGGAACTGGAGGAGCTAACAAATTATGGCACTTCTTATCGAAACTAAAAAAAAAAATTTAAAACTCATTAATATTGTCTTAAAATTTGATGACTTTCACCTGTACTCCTAATAAGGATAAACATATAAAGATGAACATGAAAAATAATAAAGTACTTTATAAATAAAATTAAAATTAATTTTCTCTCTATCTTATAAATAGGATCAGGGGAGTACTTCCCTGATCCTATTTATAGAGCAAATAGAGAATGTTTGTTTTAATTTTATTTATAAAGCACCTCAATGATTATTATATTTATCTTTATCATTTTGCCCCTATTAAATGTAGGAAAGTTTATTCAATACCAAAGTATTTTATTATAAAGTAGATATGTTTAATAGGTTAAAATTAAAAACTTGTTGAATTTTTAGATAGAGTTAATGAAGTTTAAAATTTTTCTTGGTTTTGGTAAAATGCTAGAAGTGACTAATAAATAAAACTGTAGAGAGTAGGTGATAAGGAGGATATTACTCCCTTCATCCCAATTTATAAGACAAATTAGATAAAAGTGTACATACCAATAAAGTTTATTAAATATACTTTACAATCCTATTCTTTAAAATAAAAATACAAAATTTCAAAAATGTCATTTATTTAATATAACATTAAATGATTAAAGGGAGAGAAAATAATGTTGAGGGAAGAAGAATATTATATAAGTAGACTTAATGGAATCTTATTTTTGCTATATTGTATATTTGTTGGGACACTGAATCACTTCCAACATTTATATGTAGTTGCAGGGATATCTACGGTGTGCGTATACCTTTTGAGATTCACTTCACATGTAACCTTGTCCGGAACTTCCTCCAGCTTAAAAGTGTTGACGTTCCACCTCTTAGTCACATTCTTTAATATATTCTCTCCAAAGTTTTCCAGATTCTGCAAATTCTCTGCTGTAGAGTTATCCATTTGAGCCATCTCTGGTGTTAATGAATTATCATTCAGATTTGTGAAATTATCACTCATCATCATCATTATCATCACAAACTAATTAATTAATTGGTAAGAGAGTACGTATAGGATTTCATTTACAAATACCTGAACTCGAAGATAGTTGTCCTCAGCATTAAGGCCTTGGAAAAGAGAAGCAAGATGATACTCCGACATGTCCATATTTCCATCAAACATAAACTCAGTTATGGGACTTGAAGAAGTCTTGAAATTGATCATATATTTCAAAGCACCCCAGGAATCTGCATCTTCAGCACTGTACTCATTTCTCACAGCTGATTCTCCACAGCCCAATGAAAGCAATAAGATTTTCGTGTCATCATTTGGGTTCTTCATCATTGGGAATAGCTTTGGATTTTTCAGCTTCTGTGTCGCCACCTCACTCAAAGCAACCACACCCTAAGAGCAAACAATTTTATGTTTAAATTTTGGGATTAGGCCAACAAAGGTAAGGACTATTATAGTTTTGCATTAATCACATGCTAAGACTTGTCACTTACAAGCTATTTCCCGTGTCACATTTTTTGGAAAAATATTACGCAAATCAATAGAGTTATTAAATACATTTCACAATCTTTTTTTTTAAAACAAATACATAAATTTTCAAAAATACTCTTCATTTAATATAATCTTGCTTGTGAAATATTAAATAGAGAGAGAAGATATAATGAGGAGGGAAGGGTAATGTTGGAACAAGTATATAATTAATAAGATTTTATTTTTATCAAATGTTTTATATTTTAGAACATCAAATCACCTCTAAAGTTTCTTATAAATTGGGATGGATCGGAGGGAGTAATTTGGAAAGACTTACCACACGTTTATATAGTTATGATTAATTCCTTAATCATTCGATGCGAAATTATGAATATTGATTACTTTCTCAGTGATAATTTGCAAACACTTTTACAACTACAAGAATCTATCCTTATTTAATTGAGTCCTCATGATTCAAATCATTTAAACCTTTTATTTACCAAGAAGAAACATTTATTGTTTTCACTACCGGATTAATTGCAGCTACGCCACCGTCAATCATATTGAACTCTTTGCCGGCGTTGTCAAAGAGATACGGCGGGAGATATGTCGGTGCTGCTGAAGTCGCTATGGCTATATCGAAAAGCAAGGCATTCAATTGGGGCACTTCTTCCAGCTGCATAAATATAGTTGTGCATGATGAGCAGCTCAATAGCATATTACATTTGATAAATTATACAGTTAATCATAGTCTCACAAGGCTAGATTAACACTTAGAAAAATTAAGAAACTCAGAGTTTAGAAGCTGACAAAAACTTATACAATCTTTTTTTAACAAATAACACCAAAACTTTGATGAAATAAAAAAGAATGCATAGGAACAGCACCAAAATTGAGAATAAGGACATATTGATAATTTAACCTCTAAATTATAGGCTAGAGACATCTAGAATTATAAATTTGTTTGTGGTTCAATTTCACTCCTAAACATTTAAAATCATGGCAATTTCTTTCAAGTTGTTAATTTTGACTGTTAATTGATTAAAAAATTATAGAAAAGGGCTTCAAATTTTACAGAAAAGAAAGCAAAGGAACCACAGAAAAGGACCCAAATTTTCTATGGTTCTTTTGGTCTTTTTCTATAGTTTTGAGGTTATTTTTTATAATTTTTTAATCAATTAATTGTCAAAATTAATAATGGAGAGACCGTGATTTTAAATTTTGAAGGGTGAAAATGCATGAAATAGTCCTATAATTAAGAGCAAAAATCAATAATGGAGAGGCCATGATTTTAAATGTTTAAGGGTGAAAAATGCACAAAATAGTCCTAAAATTGCCATTTTAGGTTTAAGAATAAATACTTTGTACCTTGTAAGTTGAGAATAGCGCAGGCGAAAGTTGCTTCATGTCAAAAGCTGTGATAACAACATTCGTCAAACTATCACTCAGTCTTGTTTGGTTCAAAATCTCTCGTGTAACATTACGCAAGTAAGCGTTACTGTACTTGGGCTTCATTAGATTTGCGCTACATAAATAAAATTTCAATGTTAGTCCTGTGGAAGAATGAAAAATATGGATCATGATTTTGCATATATAAGCAAAGAAATAATGAGTATTGATCATCCGTATGATGTATTTGGCGGGGAAATATTGGCTCCTTCATCTTTGTAGAACTGAACTATTTCAGGGGCACTGAACAAAGGTCTCTTGTTTGGGTCCGGAGCTGCAAGCATTTCAGCAATGAGTCCACCAGTGCTAGTTCCAGCAATCAAGTCAAAAAAGTCTGCGATCCTTAAGTGCTCATCATTGCCTAATTCCTGAAACTCAAGACAGTACGATCAGCAACATTCCTATATTAATTTGAGGCAGTAATGAGAAGCATGAAAAGTGGCATGGTCTTCATTTGAGAATTACTTCCTCTGATCCTACTTGTAAATCATTAAAATCAAAAAAAATTTAAATTTTATTAACTTTATTTTAAAATTTAACAAGTTTTCATCTTTACCCTTAATAAATATTTTTAAATCTCATTATTGATATTTTTATTTAAAACATTTAATAAAGGCAAAAATATAAAGAGAAGTATTGAAAATTGGCAAGTGTTTTGTAAATAGGATTAAATTTTTCTTCTCTCTTTGTCTTATAAATAAGATCAGAGTAGTATGTTTTAGTATTACATTTCAGTGTTAGGCTTAATGGGTTTAACAAGCAAACTCTTAGGTTGATAAAGTTGTTAATAAAAGCTACCCTAGGCCTTGTAGTCCAACATTTATGGGCTTGAACCTCTTACTTTAAAATCAATACTTCTAGCAGGCTCGACTCTTGTTGACAAAGCTCAGCTGCTGGGCTTGAGCCCGAAAGCCCATATAACTTTTTTTCTTTTTTTAAAAATTAAAATTTTAATTATACTAATACATATATAAATTACATAATACCTTAATCAAATATTTAAAATATAAATATCCTTTAGTCCTTTTTATCATCTATTTTGATTCAAAAATAAAACATTAAACAATCCAGAACGAAATCTATTTAGAGATGGTGGTGCTATTTCAACAACCTCCCTAACTTCATCCTCATTACCTAAAATAATATTAATCAACTTGTATTATTCTCATATATTAATTCAAAATTTCAATTAAATTATATAAATAAAAATAAAATAAAAATTACAAGAATTTAACGGCTAGCCAACCTATTTTTTCAAACCAAAAAGTGTAGGGCCTAAAAGGGTAGTCCATCGAACTCAGCCTTTATTAATAGCTTTAGTCATAGTCCTACTCCTAGGTTGGCTTAAGAGTTATGTAATTTAATTTATGGGACAATGGCATTGAAAGCCCTAAAAAGGAAAATGAGATAATCACATTTAACCCCCTCTTAAAAAATTTATCACATATAAGGACTAATAATAAGTTCCGTTCGAAAAAAAAAAACAAGTTATGTTTCTATTTTAACAACAATCTATTTCATATAGGTCTTTATCTTTGATTAATTCTCTTGAGAGGAAGTCGGTTGTGATTTTTTTATGAAAAATTATTACAATAAAAGCCTATCAGTTTTGCATTAGATCTTATATTATGAAAACACAAACACGTTATTATTAAAAACTAACTTAAAATTGTTAAATTTTTAGAAAACTAGAACAAAAAAAAAGTTAATGTTCAACTTTTTATAATAACATGTCCTTATTTTCAAGCACAATATTCGATGCAAAACCTCGTCTTGTAATAATTTTTTTTTTCAAGGCCATCAATGTCATTCTCCCTTTATTTATTGCCGCCAGGAGCTATGCTCATTTGATTGTACGTGAGCGACAGATTCTAATTCAATCTTCAACGACCACCAACTAAATTATGGGTTTCATACAGAATTTGATGGTTTACACGGTTCAACGTTCCAAAATGTCAATCAAATTGATAATTTAATAATTAAATAAAAATAATATTATATATAAATAATGTGTATAAGAAATAAAGTATTAATAAATAAATTTAAAAAAAATAAACATAGTATATTGACAAAATAGATAATGCACAAACATGTAAAAATGGCCCAAATCTTAAATTTCTTCTCATCTCCATCCTCATTATTATTGTCACTATTTTTTTGGTTTGCCACTAACTCCTCAATTTCACCCTCCACATATTTATTTTCAACCGCATTTCCTTGAATATCATGCAAAACAAAGAGATGAAATATTAATTTTACTAGTGAATAAAATATTATAATAAAAAATATAATAAAATAATGATCAAACATACTTCTTATAATCCAAAATATAAACATTTTTTTATAATTAATTTTGATTCAAAATATAAGCAATCTAATATATATGAGAAAAATTCATTAACCTATATTCTCGTGCAAAGTTATATCTCATTCATCATAAAGAACATTGATAATTGAAATTAAAAATAATAAATAATAAATATTTTTTGAGAATGAGAATTTTATTAATATGTAAATTTTTTTAAAAGAATTGTTTATGTTTTAGCTAGAAGAGAGTACAATTAAAATCACTTTGTTTCGAAGCACGGAAAGATGTGAGATGTTTTATATTAATAAAATTAATCGATAATATAAAAATAAAAATCAAATCAAAGTGAAAGGTAAAAATCTGTCAGCCTTCACATATTACCAGAAGTCACGCGAATTTAAAAAGTTATTTCTTCCATTCCAATGTGAACCCATCTGTCTCTATTTTGTCTTCACAACTTTTCTTCTCTCTTTTTTCCCTCACTCTCAAATAGAGCATTAGAGTCGTTAATTTAGATTTAGCCTGACAGACTAATCGAAATAATTCTAAAAAAAAGTTAAGATTAGGCTTAACACTTTAAAAAAAAAATTAATATCTTGAGCTTATTTTGGCCATTGGATTGGTTTCGGACTTGGCTCAAATAAAAATTATCTTTTTAAAAAATATATAAAATATAATAAATATTAATTAGTTATTTAATTTTTAGGTTATTTTATACTAAAATATCATATATTTGAATGCACTACTATAAATATTTTAAAAAAATTAAAAATATTTATATTGTAATATTTTATTATTTTAATCTATAAAATATCTCAAAATAATATTGAAAATATATTTTAATATTTTTTAGATTTTAAGAGCCAACTTTTTTTAATTTTTGAGTCCTATACATTATTTAAGTATTCAAAAAATATATTTTGTATTTTCATAAAATAAACTAATTGATTTTAAAGGAAAAATAAATTAAAATAATTCAAAAAAAATAAAATTGGATATTTGTACCGCCTGAAGCCTGAAAGAATTCAAGCCAACCTTAGCCATTCAGGCTTTTTAAGAAGTTGGGCTTGTTTGAGATTCAGCCTATTCAAGTCGATCGAACTCACCTGAATTCACAAGTCTATAGCTATCTTTCTTTAGGCTTAACTTATTTTAATAGCTCTAGTTAATATTGATACCAATATCATTACCGGCATTAACATATAACTATGAAAAATCATTAAAGTCATGTTATTAATAAATCATGAATAATAATGAAATTTGGACTTCATGTAAATGCTTGGGGCCCACTTTAGTTTTTGTAAAACATTAAGCACCCATTTGGTTACTGGAGAAGATGAGAATAAAATAGAATAAAAAAGATAAGGACAAAAATGAATAAATCACTGTCCTACTCACAATAATTATGATAAAATCTAATATCACATACTCTACAAATATAAGAATCTCCACACCTTTGGTCTCCACAAACCTCATGAATTATGATTTCCAATCTTACAAAATTAGTTAGTTTTCTCCTCTAGGAACATGTATGGTTTATTTTTATCTTTATTTCTTTTAATATACATTTAATTCAATTTCTAGTTAACAAACAGGTCCTAAATTCAGATCATTATGTGAAAGTAAATGTGAAAATGATTGAACCTGAAGATCTGCCTCAAGGCGTCGGAGAATGACGGCCGGGATGAGGACTTTAAGGCCACCTTCATCAATGCTGAGAATGGTGATAATATTTCCATACGAGGGAGGTGGAAGCTTGGGATCACTAGCAATTGATAAGTTCAGAGGAAGACAAAGAGAGAGAGATATAGAACACACAAGAACAAGTAAGATTTCATAGCCATTATCGTAATTAAGAAAGCTCGATGAGTGAACTTCAAGGACATGAAGAGTGTTTATAGGCCATTTCAATGGAAGGATTTGAGAAGTACGGTGCTACAATAATACCAAATTTTAAATTGCAATGAACACGTTGTGCATTGGAGAGATTAGTTTAGTTAAGTAAATAATATTTGAGAAGTACGATGCCAGAATATGATATTAATTATGAGCATCGAGGAGTCCATTGCGCCTAAGATAGCGCTATGGATTCCCCACTTTAACAGTTGGTGTAATGCAATCTTATTCATAATTGGATTTTAGATCTCGTGCTTCTTTTAATATTGCATTATTAGATTATCCAATCAGAGGAAAAATTTTAGCGACTTTAACCAAGGTCATAGTTCGTAATAAACAAATAAAAGAGAAAATAGTGTGTTATTCGAAAGCAGATCTCATGTTGTAAAAACTTGAACGATCGTTCCCTCATTTTTTATTCCATCTCATTCCTATATCCCACAATCTTTTATACTTATTCACAAAATCACCTTAAGGCTTGGTTTTTTGATGGAGAAACAAGTGAGAAAAAAGAGAAGAGGGATCTCTCCACTTCTTTTTCCTTCTTTTCTCTCTATTTCTCAATCAGGATGATATTAGAGGAGGGAAAAGAAAAAAAATCGATGATCATGATTGAGAAATGGAGAGAAAAGGAGGAAAAAGAAGTGGAGAGACCTCTTTTCTCACTACAAAAAAACGACAAATTAGTGATGGAATATAGTGATGGAATATTCCATCGTTAAAATTCTGTCATTATTCCATCACCAATTCATCAGAAATAATTTATTGATAAAATTTCTATCACTAATTTTTAGGATATCTTATTTCAAATTTCCTGACAAAAAATTTCATCACAAAGTTTCTATCATAATTCCATTGCTAA